AATCAACCATGTGAGGATTAGGCACTGATTGATCTTCTTCTCCCTCCTCTTCTTTTTATAAGCTAACCTACATCCAGTCATTTGCTTTTTTAGGAAATCAAATCATCTCCCTATATGCATATAGAATAACTGCTCAGAATAAACCTTACATGTTCATTTATTTAAGTTTTGATCAATTTTTAACAAGCTTAATTAATAAGGGGAGCTCTGGTAGTGTAATATCTAAGACATTTGACTGCTAACCAGAAGGCTGGTGGTTTAAACCCACCAGCCACTCCTCTGAAGGAAGGTTGGAAGGTTGGGTAATCTATTTCCATAGTGATACCTCAGAAACCCCCGGAGGGCTCGCTATGAGTCTGATCCAACTCCAAGGCAGTGAGTTTGGTTTGGTTTTGGTTAATTAGTAAGAGGAGCTCTGGTGGCATAGTGGTTAAAACATTTGGCTGCTAACCAAAAAGTTTGGTGGTTGAACCTACCTGTTTCTCCTCAGGAGAAAGATGAGGCAGTCTGCTTCCACAAATATTTACAGCCTTGGAAACCCTATAGGGCAGTTTTTCTCTGTTTTATAGGGTCACTGTGAGTTTGAATTGACTCAATAGCAGTTTGTTGTTTTGTTTTGTTTCTGTTTCTCTTTAAGAGCCCAGTCCTTTCATTGCATGCAGCTGTACAGGTAGCCAGGGCCCTAATAGACATGTGAATTCATCCATTGCCTGCATTGGGATCTTGTGGGCAGGTGTAAGCTAGGACACAGGAAGAAGTGGGGTGAATAAGATTGAAAAAGCTGGCTTCTCCCATTCAGTGCTGTGGCCTGGCTTAAAGACAGAAGGCCCAGGGGGCCTCTGCACATTCCCTTCTGGGTGCAGCCTGTGGTGACCTCAGTTTATATCCCCCACTCCTGGGGGTGGGCCATATCTCCAGCAGGGTTCCCTAGGTGAAGTGATCTTTGCCTTCCTCTCTGAACTGCAGAGCCTGGCAGAGGCAGTGCTTGTTCCTGTCCAAAAGCATCAGGACATGGGCACTTGGCATCCAGAGCTGCCACCCTCAATCTGTCCACCTTGGGCCTGCGTGGGCAGACCCAGGTCAGGGAGTAGTCTCCCTTCTGCTCCGCTGCACCCACCCTCACTCACTGCTCCTCACACCTGGTCCCCTTGGGTCCTCTCTGTGCTCACACAATGTACTGCCAGATGGCTTGGTCTCCTCTAAAGATCCATTCCACAGTGTGAGGCAGAGGAGTAGCCAAGCACACCCTGTGTTCCTTTCTCCATCCAAGTGACCCTGTGGTTTGGATGCCCAAGTGTGCTCTGGCCTTTGGATGGAGAACAATAGGGGAGCCCCTAAGCCTGTCCTGCCTCAGAGAGCCAACCCTGGTTTCCTGTCAGAATATAGCCTACCATGTTCTCTAGGGCCTTTATAGCCCATTTGTCATGGATGTTGCTATAGCCAACCTCTGGGTTTCTTGTGGGCACACTAAGACCCATGGAAGCCAGGTCCATGTCTCCATCATGTCTCCAGGTAGACAATCACTACTACCTCCTTGGGGTGTCTACATCACATCACAGTGCCTCCAGAAGAGCCAACACCCACTAATTCACTCATGCAGGGAACTAAGCCACCCTCCCCAGGTGCTCAGCTTTTTTGGGGCCCGAGTCATCTTCTGTCTGGCCTTCCAATTGAGATGGGGGTGGCTCAAAACTGGATTTATATAGAATCCCCTGGGTATTGGTGGAGTGCTTAGCAATTTGTCCATATTTCACAGCTCTCAGGGGCCTGAGAAGGAAAATCAGGTGGCCAGAGTTGTGCCTGGTGCCCAGAGGAGTAGTCCTCAGTTGGCTCTGCTGGTCAGACCCAAGGTGGAGATGCAGCAGTTCTACTGAAGCTCACTGGACACTGAGGCCAGAACAGACATGCCAGTACCTCATCCTCATCAAACAGCCCTCGTACCCAGGCCTCTGGAGCACTGATACAGGTGCTATGACTCCTTTCTCCCCTCCCAACCTCTCCACACTGTGACTTGAGTAGGGCTCTAGGAGGTTCTCATTCTGGGTCCCTGTCATTTTCCAGTCATTCCTGCAGAAACGGATTTTGTGACCTTCAGGGCATCAGCCAGGATTCTGTGTACCCCCAGGCCACCTCTGGGATCCCTGGTTTGCTCTCTGGGTTTGCTCAGCTTTGAGGAAAGTCTGGAAGTCTAGATTCTCAGATTCTCAGATTCTTCAGATCAAGAGAGGTTTGACTGCCAGAGCTAGCACAGTGACAGACTGAACTGCTGTGTGTTGGGACATTCTTGGCACCTGGTCCTATGAAAGCACAGGTAAGGGAGGGCTGGCCATGAATTGGAGCTGGAAAACAAGCCATGAGCCCAGTAGAAGGCCAGAGAGGTTTTCTGCACAGGATGAGATTAGATGTGGCATCAGGATTGGAGGAAGACTCATTAACAATGTGCATTAGGCAGAAAACACAACCTTGCTTGCTGAAAGTGAAGATGACTTAAAACACTTACTGATGAAGATCAAAGACCATAGTCTTCAGTATGGATTGCAAGTCAATGTAAGGAAAACAAAAATCCTCACAACTGGATCAATGAGCAACATATGATGAATGGTGAAAAGATTAAAGTTGTCAGGGATTTCATTTTACTCGGATCCAAAATCAACACCCATTGAAGCAGAAGTCAAAAAATCAGATGTCACATTGCACTAGGCAGATCTGCTGCAAAAAAAAATCTCTTTAAAGATGTCACTTTGAAGACTAAGGTGTGCCTGACCATGATATTTTCATATTTCATATGCATGTGAAAGCTGGACAGTGAATACAAAAGACTGAAGAAGAATTGATGCTTTTGAATTGTGGTGTTGGGGGAGAGTACAGAAAACACCATGGACTGCCAGAAGAGCAAAAAAATCTGTCCTGGAAGAAGTACAGCTGGAACGCTCCTGGGAAACAAAGTAAGACTCCATCTCACCTACTTTGGTCCTGTTGTAAGAAGGGACCAGTCCCTGGAGAAGTATATCATGGTTGGTAAAGTAGAGGAGTGAAAAAGGGGAGGTACTCTCAATTAGATGGATTGACACAGTGGCTGCAAGGATGGACTCAAGCACAGCAAGGATTGTGAGGGTGGTGCCGGACTGGGCAGTGTTTCTTTGTGTTGTCCATAGGTCACTATAAGTCAGAGCCTACTCCTAACAACAGCACAATAGGGCAGGGAGAAGGAGCTCTGGAGGTGCAGTCATTCAGGCATTTGGCTGCTAAGCAAAAGGTTGATAATTCGAAACCACCAGCTATTCCATGGGAGATAGATGAGGCAATCTGCTTCTGTAAAGACTTACAGCCTTGGAAACCCTCTGGGGTCATGACGAGTCAGAATCAACTTGATGACAGTGAATTTGTTTGTTCTTTTTTGTAGGGCAGGAAGAAGAGGATTCAGTGAGTCTGAAGGGTCTGTGGGCTACTGCATGGAAAAAAGAGTGTTTATTAAACAACTACTGCATGCACCACGTACTGTGTTAAGAGTTGGGCAACAAGAGGCTAAGATGAGCAGGACAGTTTCTGTCCCTAAGACTACACAATGTGGTGGAGAGAGAGGGAGAATCCCAAGACAGCAAGAGAAGTTCCATAATGGGTAGGAGGAAGGAACACGGAATGCAGAAGGGGCAGTGTGACAGGGGAACAAAACCTCTGATTAATCACCTGCACTGATTTTCTCACTGCCAACAAGGGAGACAAGGCCCTAAGTGACTACTGAGCTCCAGAAATGCAGCCCATGTGAATGAAGGTGAGCTGTAAGTGACAAATGCACACCAGCCTTCAAAGACTTGGAACAAAAAACTTTCCAATAGTTTTTATATTGATATGTGTTAAAATGATGATTGTGGATAGAGTGGGTTAAATAAAATATGCTACTGAAATTAATTTCACCTGTTTCTTTTTTAAAAAATGTGGCTATGAGAAAATGTAAAATCACACATGTAGCTGGTGTTATTGGATCACATTATAATTCTAGTGGACAGAGTTGCTCTAGGTGTCAATAAAAACTAGAACCAGGTGAGTTCTAAATTCAAATAGGCATTCAAGATTGGTTGTTAAAAGTAGATTCTGATCTGCAGACCCCTCATTTCTAGAACTGAACTGTTTACTTCAAGAGCTATGAGCTACATGCAGCTACTAAGCAGTTGACAGGAGTCGAGCCCCAGTTGAGATGTGCTCTATACATATAAAATGGATTTTTTTTTTTAGATAATAGATTTTGAAGAGTTAGTATGAAACAAAGCAGAATGTAAAATATCTCATTAGTAATTCTTGGGTTGATTACATTTTGAAATGCCCATACTTTGGATAAGGAGCTCTGGTGGCGTAGTGCCTAAGGCATTAGACTGCTAACCAGAAGGTTGGTGGTTCAAACCCATTAGCCGCTCAGTGGAAGGAAGACCGGGCAATCTACTTCTGTAAATATTTACTGCCTCAGAAACCCAAAGGGGATCTTTATGAGTCAGAATCAACTCGATGGCAGTGAGTTTGGTTTTGGATTTATACTTTGGATATATTGAGTTAGATAAAAAGTATTATTATAATTAATCTTATCTGTTCCTTTCACCTTTTTAATGTGGCTACTAGAAAATTTAAAATGACACATGTAGCTTGCATTGCTCATGGTCCATTTTTATAAGACAGTCTGTCCAAGAGGGCTGCTGTTGTTAAATCATGTGTCTGGCTCTTCCTGGGGTCCAAAGTGAAAAGGGAATGAGATCAGGTAAGGTGTTATCATTATTCTTGAAGAGGAAGCACCCTCAATTTCTCAGGAAAGCCAAGCCAAGGATTGGACATTAGGATGTATCGGGCATAGATAACTACTGTCTGAGAATGGAGGGAATGCCTTTGAAGGCAGTGAGCTCTCTGTCACTAGGGAATTCAAACACTGCTGAGGAGGTTGGATGAACTCCAAGGACACCTCTTTCTCTAAGCTCATTGGGAGATCAGCAGGTCCTTTTGCTGCCCCTAGGACCTCAGGCAGGACCACGTGCAAGAGTACCCTCAGTGTGTCCCCCAGAGGCTCTGCCTGCCCTGGGGCTCTGCCCACCAAAGCTTGTCCTGAGACCCTGCAAGCCTGGGCTTAGTTTCACCCTCTGAAGAGAGTGCTGGAGCATCTCCTTGGCTCTGGTGAGGGCCACTTCTGCAGGAACTACCACATGGGGCATCACACCCACCCCTTCCCAGGAGCTGCCATCCACCGCCCCCACTGAGCGGGCCGTGGGGATGGTGATGTAGAGGTGTGTGTTGTCCACATGGTAGGTCTGTAGTGCCTGGCAGCCACCACTGGTCACCTCCCCAATGACCAGGGCCCGGCCCAGCCTCTTCATGATGTATGTGAACTCCTCTGCAGCGCCAGCCGTCACATGGCTGGTCAGGATGACCATGCTCTTCTTGGAGCCATAGCGTTCACCTAGAAGATACAAGGCTCTTTAAATTGGGATCCAATTCACCACTCTGGAGCTTGCCTTTTCTATGCAGTCTGGACCAAAGTGAAGGGGCCTAGAATTTAGTTCTGGGTTCTTATGTCCACATGTGGACTTGCCACATGTCAACTGTTCAGTAGCTGCATGTGGTTCATGGCTCCTGAAGTGGATAGCTCAGTTTAGAATCATCTGGTTCTGGTTTTTATTGACATTTTGCAATATTATTGAATATTTGTCCTGAAAAAAACAAAACAAAGAATAGTTGCTGTCAAATTGATTCCAACTCATGGCAAACCTGTGTGTTTCGGAGTAGAGCATGCTCCATAGGGTTTTCAATGACTGTGGCCTTTTGGAAGCAGATCATCAGACCATTTTCCTGAGATGCCTTTGGGTGGATTTGAATCACCAGCTTTCAGTGAGTAGCCCAACACGTAACCATCTGTGACACCCGTATGGGAGTACGGCCTGGAAACTACCTCAAAATTCTTGTGGAATAAGGAAGCATGTAAATGAACATTGTGAGGTGTTATTCAAGTCATATGAAGGCCCCCACTTGTGTCTCCAGCTCCCTCTTGTTGAAGGGGAGCCCAGGTTCCTTGGTTTTGCATGCTGGGCAAGGGAAATGGAGTGAGGCGTACCACTCCAGAAAGGGAGATTGCTGTCAGGGTCTTGGTCATCAAATGCTCCTCCCACCACTGCTCTGGGCCCAAGGTAGGTAATGGCAGTCCCTTAGTCGTGTGATTTCTTCAGGCAGGTCTGCTGAAAGCTTCTGCTGTGAAGTCAGGTAAGATGAGCACTAGGACCCCATTGGATTTCGTGGGTTGGGGGGTGGATAGTGTTGCTTTCAGTTCTGCATTTGTCTTACAGGATGATAGTTATGCACAATCTGGGGTCATTTTTGTTATTGAACAAACCAGTGTTCAAATTTTGTCTCTTTCACTAATTTGCAAGCTATTCAATCTAGTTGAACTCATTTTTCTTCTCCAGAAAATGGGCATCATGATATATGTTTTGCAGGGATTAAAGATCATATGAGGAGCTCTGGTGATACAGTGGTTAAAGCATTTTGCTGCTAACCAAAATGTTGGTGGTTTGAACCCACCAACCGCTCTGCAGGAGAAAGATGGGGCAATCTGCTTCCATAAATATTTACAGCCTTGGAAACCCTATAGGGAAGTTCTACTCTGCTCTATAGGGTTGCTATGAATCAGAATTGACTCGATGGCAGGGAGTTTTTTTTTTTAAGATTCTAGGAGCTCTGGTAGTGTAGTGCCTAAGGCACTTGACTGCTAACCAGAAGGGTAGCAGTTCAAATCCAGCAGCCACTCCTCAGAAGGAAGGTTGGGCAATCTACTTCTGTAGTGACACTGCCTGGGAAACCCAAGGAGGGTCGCAATGAGTCAGGTCTGACTTGACAGCAAACAACAACAACAACAGGAGCTCTGGTGGCATAGTGCCTAAGGCATTTGACTGCTATCCAGAAGACTGAAGGTTCAAAGCCACCAGCCACTCCTTGGAAGAAAGATTGGGCAATCTACTTCCATAGTGATACCACCTCAGAAGCCCAAGGAGGGGTCTCTGTGAGTCGGATCTGACTCAACAGCAGTGTGATTGGTTTTGGTATGCACAAAGTCTATGGCATAGGATAGCTGCTTTATGTTACTCTTCCTAAACCCATGCTAGATTTCCTTGATTTACCAAATGAGAAGGAATAAAACCAGGCACTTCTAGAATGACAAATAAGAGGGGGAAACTTTTCCATGCACCTGCAAGCTGGTTGTGGGTCCAGATTTCGTTGACAGAATCGTTAGGCCGATTGTAGATTTTGTCCAGCAGAATTGGAGGGCCTTCATCAAAGAAGTAGGAGCACAGGGCAGAGATGGAGGAGGTAGGGCCGCCGATGTTGAACCTGGGGAGGGTGAGTGGAGCCCAGGAAGGGGCTGAGTTCAGTTAGGCTCTTAGTGCCCCTCTGGAAGACTGTTTTTTTTTTTTTTTTCATGCAGATGTCTTTATTATCAGACAAAATGTAAGCAGATCTTAACCACTACATATAGTCTTTTACAGATTCATAAGAATATTGCAAGGCATGAAAAATAAAAGCTCAAGAATGGGAGAAACAAGAAAGAATCTTAGCTTTTAGAATAGTTATCACCATAAAAAAAAAAAAGGTAGTGTATTTTGACAAGGATGTTTGGAATGTTGTAATACGCACATCTCTACTTGGAAGGAGGGAGCTCTGGTAGCATAGTGGCTAAGACACTTGCCTGCTAACCAGACGGCTGGCGGTTCAGACCCACCAGCCACTCCTCGGAAGGAAGGTTGGGCAATCCTACTTCCGTAGTGATACTGCCTCAGAAACCCAAGGAGGGGTCGCTATGAGTTGGGCTTGACTCGACGGCACATAACAACAACAACAACACTTGGAAGGAAGTTTGGGCAATCTACTTCCGTAGTGATATGCCTTGGAAACCCAAGGTCTGACTCAATGGCACATAACAGCAATATGCACATCTAATGCTTTATCTGAAAAGGGTTGAAGAACCACTTGTAGGGGTCAGACTGAAATGTGCTCTAGAATACCTTGCAGACAGCCCCCCTCTCTAGTGCAATAGATACAGAGGTGCAACAACTGAAGCAAAGTTTATGCCGTGTTCATCTATCAGCTCTTCAGATTACCAGACCTTATCCAATCCTGTGTTAACCTGATGGGCTTCATTAGTTAATTCCACTGCTTTAGAAAATGTCAGTCTTGGATCTGGTTACCTGACTAAAAATAATGAGATTTTGAGGTGGCACATTGAATATGACAAAGATTAACACAATATTTATCTGTGTTCTGCTTACACAGGAAATAGGCTAATTCATAAAATCAAGACTATCAGACCCCCTATGAGCTCTGGTAGCATAGTGCCTAAGGCACTTGACTGCTAACCAGAAGGCTGGTGGTTCAAACCCACCAGCCACTCCTCGGAAGGAAGATGGGGCAATCTACTTCCGTAGTGATACTGCCTCGGAAACCCAAGGAGGGGTCGCTATGAGTCGGGTCTGACTCGACGGCAAACAACAACAACAACATGATCAATTAAGAATAAATGATAACACTCTGAAGACAATTTCAAGATTGAAAGCATCATTAACCCAAATGGGTATAGCTTTTAATGGACTAGGATTCTCAGTTACTTAGTAGACGAGTAATGAAAAAGCACTATGTTGACTATGTTGACTATGCGCTTCTACTAAGGTGATCTAGGTAAGATTTTATTAAATTTATATTTTGTTAAGGAGTTCCAGTGGCACAGTGCCTAAGGCATTTGACTGCTAACCAGAAGATTGGCAGTTCAAACCCACCAGCCACCCTGTGGAAGGAAGACCAGTGCAATCTACTTCCACAAAGATTTACCTCCACAGAAACCGAGTGGAGGTCACTATGAGTTGGAATGAACTTGATGGTGCTAAGATTGGTTTCTTTGGTTTCATATTTTAATTTTTGTGAGATACAAAAATTTACCAGCTAGAACATTGAAAACTTTATCTCCTGTGATAATTCAATTCAAATAAGACAGACATCTTTGCCCAGTGCAAGCTTATAATTAAAGTCAGCCTTAGTCTAGTACTCCTTCCTCCAACAGAATCCCTTGGGTCAGCCCTTCCTAGAGTATTAGTCTCTTGAGAACAGGAGATTTTGTGATCAAATATGTTTAGAAAGTACTGCATATTATATCTTCTCCCTTGAATCACATATCACATTAGAGGCTCTGACAAGTTCTGTAGTTAGAACTTTGTCAATACATTTTCCACATTTATTGACCACAGAATGCCCCCTGCATCCACACTGCCTGTGAGTAAGGCACATTTTGGGAAACACTGTCTTCCTCAGTTGCATTCTGTGATAACTTCATAGAACTCACTAGATGTCTTAGCTCAGGTCTCTGACATGGGTCTCATAGAGGAGAACCTAGAGTTGTAGGTTCCCCATACTGGAGATGGGGAAACCTGTGTCCAGGCCTTTTTTTTTTTTGCCCTACTATGTAGTCGTGGATAAAGGTTCCCACCTCACTGGGCTTATGTCTCCAGTTTGCAAAATGAGTACTCCAGGGTTGGTGACATGTGAGGACCCTTTTCTGGTTGAGGGTCTAGGATGCTTTGGCTGAGTTCAGGGCTGGTTATCTCAGTGTCTGTATCTCCAAATTTTGGGAATGGAAGGATCCTAAACCCAAACACCCTACGTGGAGGCTTCTCTTCTTTAAAAATGTGGTCTTGTTGTTATGTGCCCTGAGTGGGACCCGACTTATAGCAACCCCTCCTTGGGCAGTATACTGCCTCCCAGGCAGTATCACTATGGAAGCAGATTGCCCAACTGCCTTCTGAGGAGTGGCTGGTGGGTTTGAACCACCAGCCTCCTGGTTAGCAGTCAAGTACCTTAGGCACTACGCTGCCATTAAATAGAAAAGGACTTAGAACAAGGGTCATTCTAATATTCTATCAAGAGTTGGCATAATAAAGTGATCTGAGGGACCACAGGGGCCCCCCAAGTTCAGAGCAATAGGAAATGTATCTGCAGTCTTGCAAGGAGTGACTTCAGTCTCTGTAGGATCTAGCGCCACCTAGTGACCACTAAGAGCCATGGTTAATTCTGCAAGTCAATAAATGAGCTCGCAAGCTGGAGTAGAGGGTGCGTAGTGTCAGGACCCTAAGGGGCAGTGGACTGCCCCGGGCTGCTCCTTCCTGTGTCCATGGATAGTTCCCAGGACATGTTTTCCCATGGACTGGGGAGTCTCAGGTGGTCTGGGCCTGGCCACTGCCTGAGAGCTTTCTTTCCCCTCCCTCCCTTGCTTTATTATGGAAACTCACTGCATGAAAATCCTCTGCCATTAAGTAGATTCCAACTCATAGAGACCCCCACTGGGTTTCCGAAGCCAGAAATCTTTAGGGAGGTATATTGCCCAGTCTTGTCTCCCCAGAGTGGCTGGTGAGTAAAAGGGGCATATTCATATAAGCAGAGGGGAGTGGCTAACTGAAGACATCCATCCAACAATTGTAGTGTTAGTAGCTAATTGCCTAATGCTTTCGGTAATGTAGGTTTTATGATGCTTATGACCAGGGTTGTTGTGACTGATTGCCTAAGGCATTTGACTGCTAACCAGAAGGCTGGTGGTTCAAACCCACAAGCCACTCCTGGGAAGAAAGATTGGGCAATCTACTTCCATAGAGATACAGCCTTGGAAACCCAAGGAGGGGTCGCTATGAGTCGGAAACGACTCCATGCGGCAATGAGTTTGGTTTTTTTTTTGAAACCACAACTACATTCTGTCTGTCCCAAATATGACTCACCAGAAGCCTGGCTGGTGGGAAGCCTGTGCCCTACAGATCATCAGGCCAATCACCTGAAGATTCTGACTCAAGAGTCAGTGCTTTTGAGCTCCGCCCCCAACATCATTGACCAGACAGCTTTGAGAAACACTGGTTTAGCCCAGTGATTCTCCACCTGGAATGCACACTGGAATGGAGCTGAGGTGGAGCTTTAAAATTGACCAGGGATGGCCCACATAGGAAATCAGAAACACTAGGCTGTTTGGTCCAAGCCCTGGCAGGCAAAGTTCCTCTCTGTGCCTTGCCATATCATAGGGTCTTTTTTTTAATTCCCACTTTGGGCCCCTAGCTGTAACTCTATTCTGGCTTCTGTAGGTGCTTTAGCAGGGCAAGAACCACTTACTGCTCCCTCCCTGAATGACCTTATGAAATATTGCACACTATACCTCCCCCCTCTGATCATCACATATTATCACTCTAAATGTTCTGGTAAGTCCACACTTACTGACTATAGAATGCTTCCTGCACCCACACTGACTGTCAGTGGAGTACATTTTGGGAATCATGGCAGCCATGGCCAGATGAGAAACCACTGACCACCGTTCCCTCACTGACCTCATATCGATAATCATGGCGTCCGTGTGCACAACCTTCCTCCAGACATGCTCCACCAGCAGCTCAGAGACCTGGGAGAGCAGCTCACAGTCTCCAAACATGTCAAACCTCAGGTAGCCGAGGTTGCCCTCAAACACATTCGTGTGGAAGGAAAACTTGATGAGGTCTTCAAAGACTTCAGGGGAAGGAATCTGTAAGAGTTGAAGCATAGCTCAGTGGTAGGAAAGGAGCAGATTCAAAATCAGGAAGAGTGGCAGCCATCGATCTCCTTTATATTATGAGACATATTAAGATTATTGAAAGGAAATGAGCATTTTGGAAGGAATTTGTAGGTGCCAAGAAGTCTTCTAATGGTGTGTCACCCAAAGTTCAGGGAAACTCTATGTGGCGGGCGGAGGGGGAGAGGGTAGCCGGAACTTGAACCCATGTCTAATTGGCTACCACCTTAAAGAGAATGTGAATATCTCCTGATCCCATGCTTGAGGGTGAATTACTTAATATGGTGCCACAAAATGATTGGGTGAGACTATGCAAATAAGATGCTTGTGGCCCTCCAAAGGGATTAGATAGCTTACTAACAATGCAAATAAGGTGCATGGCACGCTTGTGGATGTAGGACCAAATAAATAAGGTATATGGAATCCTAAAGAAGGGATTGGTCAGTTTTATCATTCTGCTAGGTTTAAAATGAACCATCCCAGAGGTGGGAGGGGAGATTTCACTACCAAGAAGAGGCAGGAGTGGAGCGTGTCCTTTGGACGCAGGGTACCTGCACTAGGAACCTCCTAGACCCAGGAAACAGAGAGCTGGAGAAGGCACCAGATGGCAAGAAGCAGTGGCAAACACAGCAGAGAAATGGCAGAACCAGAAGACTGGCAGGAGATGATGTGGTAAGCCAGGTGGCTATAGTGAGCATGCCAATGAACCCACTGAGAGAGAAAGTTGGGTGCAGGAAGCTTGCTGGTGGAGTGGAGTGCCTCCAGGTACTTATTGGGAGAACTAAAAGAGCTTTGTAGCACAGGTCACAGTAGGGCAGAGACCAGGCCTGATCAGGAGCTGAGTGTCGAAGAGAGGCTTGTCCTGAGAGGGCCAAAAGGAGGTTGGTCCATAGATGGCTGAGAGAGTTATTCTGCACTGAAGAAAGGAGAATTTGACTACACACTTCTTGATTCTGATCCCAAGTTGTAGCCTGTTACTTCCCTAATAAACTCCATAACTGAGTATGATCTGTGAGTTTTGTATGGCCCTTGCAAAGAATTATCAAACTCAGCAGAGAGGTAGAGATTACCCTGGGAGGAATATCTAGTGTCAGAATTGGTAAAAAGGTTGTCTGACCTCCACCTCATAGGAATCAGTTTTGGGCTACTGATAATGGTTCTTCTCCCTCCTTGTGAAGTTAGATGAGCAAGTCTGATGATGTCATGCCATCATTTTTACAGGAGGCCAGAGCTGGCCTGTCTCCTCTCCAGTCTATCTCTAATGAATGACTTTTCCAGACAGTCTGTAATGACAGTGTCATCCTCTTCCTCTCCTCCAGTGGGGCATGGAGGGAAGACATTTGTGATCACATACCTGAGCCTTTACCAGGGGCCTGGCCATTTGCAGCCTTTATTATCAGCTCCACAACCACCCTGTAAAGTACCTGCCATTTCTTCATGTTTTCCATGAGGACACCAAGGTACAGAGAGATTAAGTAGCTTGTCCAAGGTAACATTGCTAGTATATAGTGACACTGGAATCTACATCTGACTGCAAACTGTGAACTGCTAGTTACTCTGGGAAGGAACAAATCCATGATTTGGGGGATGGGAGGCCTGGGACCCCAGACCAATATAGGCACAGAGTAGGTCCCCCTAAAATAGCTGTTCCTCCTTTCCTCTCTCCAAGTAAGGTGGCAGGGCTCAGTGGGCTAGATTGAGCCAAGGAGTCAGCAAGGTGCTGGTTGTGTTGAGTGGGACTCCAGTCTGCAGATCCTGCTCCACCTTCAGCAACAGCTCTTGGGCCTAGGTTTCCTTTTATGTAAAATGGGGATAACAATTCTGTAGCAGAGGCCTCTTCTGATTTCACCTACCCTTGGGTCCTAGCTGACAGGGCCCGGCCTCCAGCATACCCCTTTATCCTTTCCCTCTCTCCTGTAGGTCTTTCTTTGAGCTGGACAAGTGGACTAACCAAGAGTGAGAGTCCCTGTCATTGGGGAAACCTTTGGCCAATGGATCCACACCCAGCCTCCTACACTCAGAAGACCACACCCCACACTTTCCAGGGAAGCAGCCTTAGTAATACTTGCACATGTCCCTGCTTTGTCACCACTGCCTCAACCATCACCTCCCAAATAAATCACCAGCCCCTAAGGCCTCATCTTGGGCCCTGTTCTCAAGGGAGTCCAAAATAAACATCACCCTGCCTACTTGCTGTGATTACCCTGTGAAATCATTAATGAGAACACAATGTGGAACACAGTCTTCAGTTTTGCTTTTGATAGAGTTCTGAGCTGATGGTGAGAAGACTTGGGTGTCTTCTTTCTCTTCATGAAGCCAACCAGCAACCCCCGCCCCCCTCAGCCTTGGCCCGCTGGTTTAGTGTTTCCCGGAGGTTCAAGTCTGGCTTCCAAATATTTTGATTACAACATCTTTGCTCAGAATTTCCCACCCAGCATATCTTTTGATCAGCCCAAGATACACCTCCACCATGTGCATCTCCTTCAGGTGCTTTGCATTGGAGCCTCACTGTGCATGGAAGGTTCTCTGGGTTCTATGACTGGTTCTCTGGGCTGAACCAGTACCCAGTATGTCTGGTCACTCCTGAACCCATATTCTAGCTCTAAGCTTTAGCTCTGAGGCAACTGAAGCCAAGGCCTCTGCCTGCTTCTCTGCCCAATCACACATTTACAGAGGAGGAAACCACAGCTTAGAGAGCTCACCCCACTTAATGAGCTTTTCCCCAGTGCTGATCATCAGATAGGAGTTCTGGTGGTGCAGTTGTTAAAACATTTGGCTGTTAACCAAAAGGTCAATAGATCAAACCCACCAGCTGCTCCTTGGGAGAAAGATGAGGCAGTTTGTTTCTGTAAAGATTTACACCCTTGGAAACCCTATGGAACAGTTCTATTCTGTTCTATAGGGTTGCTATGAGTTGTAGTAGACTTAATGGCAGTGCTGGGACCATAGGAACCCTGGGCACACCTGCCTTCCACCAGCCAAGAGTGAAGATCTTTCTCATCTACCAGGCTTCACCCTGGGTTTCTTTAGGACTAATGTTCTGCAGAGCTGCTGAGGGACCTCTGGGCATGGGGAGAGGGTGAGAAGACAGGATAAGAGAGGGAGAAAATTTTCTTGGGAAAACTTAAACATAGAATGAGTCTGGAAACCAGCGTTGTGCATTGTGCACATAGACCTGAGTATTTGGACAAACGGTCAACTTCTTCGGAGACTCAGTTGAGGCCAAATCTCTGCATGTCTTACCTGCATGGGGACAATCCCAGGAATGTGGTCCTTAGCATCCTCAGGGATGTGGGCAATCTTCAGGTGTGGGTCCCCAGAGAGCACCTGCAGGTTGGCCCCAAGCATCTCAGCCAGGGCCCTTTCTGAGGTCACCATGGCATAGTGGCTCTGCAGATGGCTCAGTTGGGCAGCCATCTTGGCACCCAGCTCAGGGGAGGCATAGTTATCAGCTACCAGCTTGCCAGCTGTCTGCAACACTGTAGGCACCTTGGCACGCAGGGCTACAATTTCCTGGGCTGTGGACAGGGCCTCATTCATAGGCACAGTGATGTCAGGTTCCACACCAGCCAGGTCCCAGGCTTGGCCCGTCGTGGCGCTCAGAGCTGTCTGTGTGGGCATGGAAGCATACAAGGGACTGTTGCCCACCTGGTAGATGCCCACAGAGAGGGCTCCCCCAGACGTAGGCTCCCCAATGACTGTGGCGCGGTGTAGGTCTTGCATGGTGCGGGTGAAGGCCTCTGCTGCAGAGCCACTGCTGTGGCTCACCAGGATATAAAGGTCCTTGTGGGGGCCATAGCGCTGGCCAGCTACCTGGGGCAGGGTCCACACCTCCATCACCTGAGAGGTGGCTCTGTCAAAGACTGAGTAGAGGTGCTGACGGGGCTTTTCTTCAAAGAAGTAGGAACAAAGCAATGGCACAGCAGAGGAGTAGCTGCCAGGGTTGTAGCGGAGGTCCACAATCAATGCAGCTGTGTCCACCAACCTGTCCCACACTAGCTGCACTAGCTGTGGCCCAATGGCCTTGACTGTCTCTAGATCAGCCATGGTGTCGAATCGCAGGTAGCCCAGTCGTCCAGGCAACACCTCCGTCTTGAACAGGGCCTCAATGAGGTAGGAGAGCTCTTCAGGAGAGGGGGCAGCAGGCAGCAGTGGGGGTGCATCTTCAGCTACCAGTTCCCCAGGGCTGTGGAACACCAGCAGGCGGTGGTCTCCAGACACCTCCTGCAGGTCAGCCGTGAGCTGAGAGGTCAATGACTCAGGGTCCACAGCCGTGCGATAGGCTCCTCGTGCCAGCTTGTGCTGCAGCAGGGCCTGAGTCTGCCCAACCACCTCTGGCCGTGCATAGTGGACTTCCAGCAGGTGCCCTGTACCCTCCACCAAGGCACCCAGACTCCGGTGGAAGTCCAATACCTCCAGGGCCCGGTCCAGGGCCTCCTCAGCTAGTACGATGGCATCAGGCACCACGCCACCACCCAACCAGCACTCACCATGGTTGTCAATGAAGGTAAGCATAGGCACGGTGAGCACCAGGCTGCCAGTGAGCGTCTCCAACAGAGGCACAGAGTGTGTGTGCAGCAGGTTGCCTGCTGTGATCTCACCCACCAGTGTGGACCAGCCCAGCGACTGCATCAGGAAAGCAAACTCTTCAGCGGCTGTGGCTGTGCGGTGACTGGTGAGTAGGTACACACCTCTCTGGGTGCCATAACGTTGGCCCTGCAGCTCAGAGCGACTGAAGTGCTCTTGAGTGCGATTGGTACGGCGGTCGTAGGTGGTGAAGAGACGGACAGGGCCATCCTCAGGGCCTTGGAAGTAAGACAGCAGCAGGGGCACAGCAGAAGAGGGCCCCCCAGGGTTGTGGCGCAGGTCCATGATGAGATGTTCTGTATCCTGCAGGGGCTCCCACACCTGGTGCAATATGTGTGGACCCAGGACTTCCAGAATGGACACATCAGCAAACCTGTCAAAGCGCAAGTAGCCCACATTACCCGGCAGCACTGACACCTGGAACTCCGACTCCACCAGGGCACGCTGGGCAGCCTCATCCTCAGGCACCACAGGGACTGTACTAGGGGGTCCATCAGCTCCAGGCTCATGCCCAGGAGAGTTTTCTCTGGACTTAAAGACTTGCACCAGGAGCCTGGGGTCCTCAGACACAGCCTGCAGATCAGCATTAAGCTTGGCGACCAGGTCCTCCTCAGAAACCACGGCAGAAAAGTCCATGGTGGCAAGGTGGTGCAGCAGGGCAGGCACACGGCCTACCAATGTGTAGTAGTCTTGCAGGGCCTCCTGTAGGCGCTGGATGATCTGCGGCAGGGCTCGGCGCAGTGTGAGGATAGCCAGCGCTTTCTCTAGGGCCTGCTCTGCCGGAGTCCCCACACAGGGCAGCACCCCACTGCCCTCCCATGTCTGGCTCCCCCTGCCCAAAGGACCCAAGGATCTAGACACAGGCAAAGTGAGGAAGAAGTCAGAGTGGCCTATTCTTAGCTTCTGGAGGTCCAGGGCACCTCCCTCAGTTCGCTCGCCAACCACAATGGCCCTGCCCATCTGCTTGAGGATGTAGATGATATCCTCAGCCACACCTCTGGTGTGGCCACTGGTGAGGAGCACCACATCCTTGTCAGCACTGTACCTTTCCCCATGCACCTGTGGTAAGGTCCAGAGTTCAGTAGTTGTGTTGGAGGGGCGGTTGTAAATGGTATCCACATGCAGCACTGTGCCTCCTGGGTGCAAGTAGGAGATGAAGTAAGGGATGCTGGAGACATGGCCTCCTGTGCAGTGCCGCAGGTCCAACACCAATGCAGAGGAGCCCATGAGCTGCCTCCACACGTGGGGTACCAGGAAGTCCTCCAGCTGGCTCAGTACTTCCTGGCCTGGGATGCTGTCTACTCGTAGGTAGCCCACATTGCCCTCCAGAACCTGGTAGCTCATGGTCCTCTGCAGCTCACTAAGCAGTTCCTCTTGTGTGAGGTTGGCAGGTGTTGGGGCTGGTTGTGGAATCTCTAGGGTACTGGGCTCATAGGAGATGAGCAAGCGAGGGTCATTCAGGGAGCTCTGCACTCCAGCCGTCAGCACATCAGCCAGTGTCTGGGGGTCTGAGATACCCAGGATCTCATGGCTCCGGATAGCCTGTTCGATGGCTTCTTGCATCCCCATCAGGTTCTCTGGGAAGCAGTAGTTATCCAGGAGCACTTGGGCCATGTCCAGGACCAGGCTCGGCTGGAACAGATGTTTGGAGCCAGTTAGACCGCAGAGCAAAGCAGAAAAGAGCAAGATCCATTGTCCCTTCATGAGGATCAAGTAGAAGTTTGGGTCCTGCACAAACCCATCCGAGACTGTCCACAAGACCATGCTCTGGTTTATGCCACTGCCTTCTGCCCTCTTCCTTCTTACTGGCAGACAGAAGGTTTGAGGCTAAACTTGGGAGGCGAGTTGAGGCTTCCAGCTCCAGTAAGCCTTTAATCCTATCTAATCCAAGCACATCAGCCCTGAGACTTGAGAGAATGGGCTGAGTGGTTTGACCTGGAATGTATGTTGCCTCTCATCTTGCTGTACCATCAAGAGCAAGAGATTTCTGCACAAAATAAAATGAATAACTACAAACATTTACAAACGATGACAGTTTTTCCCACAGCTTTGCAAAGTAGTTATTATCCTTCAAGTAATAGCATTTTCCCATCACACTGTGTGATCAATGGCTTTGGAATTAGGTAGATCTCTGTGGAGTCCTAGTTCTGTCACTATCTAATATGTGGCTTTAAAGAAGTACCTTATTTACTGTGTAGATTAAATGAGAAAAGATGTGTGGAGCACTCAATTACTGATCATTACAATATTAGATGTTATTTCTGTTATATAGCTGAAAGGGCAGAAGCCAGAGACTTTAGCAGCTTATTGATGAATCAACCAACCAATTTGCAAAGAGTTGATTTCAACTTGTGAGGATCCTGTTTGTGTCAGAGTAGAACTGTACTCCATAGTTTGCAATGACTGATTTTTTGGAATTAGATTGCCAGGCCTTTCTTCTAAGGTGCCTCTGGGTGGGCTTGAACCACCAACCTTTTGTTAGTAGCCAAGTATGATAACTGTTGACACCACCCAGCCTATGGAAGCCCATCCTTTTAAGTGGGAATAGATGATGGGGGAATCCCTGTGATGCAAACGGTTAACTTACTTGTTATTAAATGAAAGACTCAACTAACTCACTGCTGTCGAGTCAGATCTGACTCATGATGACCCTTCCTTGGGTTTCTGAGGCAGTATCACTATGGAAGTAGATTGCCCAACCTTCCTTCCAAGGAGTGGCTGGTGGGTTTGAACCTCCAGCCTTCTGGTTAGCAGTCTAATATCTTAGACACTATGGCACCAGAGACTGGCCATTCTAATTCACCAAGTGATGCCTTCCAAGAAAGGCCTGGCAATCTACTATGGAAAAATTAGCCATTGAAAACTCTAGGGAGCACAGTCTACTCTGGTACACATGGGTCACCATATGTCTGGATAGATTTTATGGCAACTGATTTAAATGGTGAGGGAGGGGAGAAGAAGCTCCTCCCCCCCCCCCCCACACACACACACACATCAGTTCCTATAGGACTGAAGTAGAGTCTGCAGCTGCTCATCATCTCAGGGTGGAAGCTCATTCCTATGTTTGGCTACTGCCTCCAGGACACTGAACCAGTTCCCCTGTAACCTTTAAACAACAGCAATGAGATGTCTTGTCCTTGACCTAGGATGTGACCATTGAAAAGAGTACCCGCTTTTAAGGCCTGTGGCCTAGTGACTCTGGATCAGATGATATCAGCCCTGGGATATAATGAGCACCCATTCTCTTGGCTAAAGAAGACCCCTGTGAGTAAGGGCCCTAGCCCATTTCCAGCTCTTGCAGTGAGATCTGAGGGAGGACTCAGGCCTCTCTTGGATTCCCTCTCCATTGAACATGCAAGAGCTAGCCTTAGGGAAGTGCTGGACCCTTTACTTATAGAAATGATGTGGGTCTCATTGTGGCTGATTTGCCACTGATGTCCAAGAAAACCTACCACTGAGGCCAGAACCTGGATCCCTGCTTTGTTTCAGCATCCTCTGCGAATGGGCATTTTCCTCATTTAATAGCTGAGAAAAGGACAGCTCTGCCTCTGATCACATAGCCTATAACAAGCAGGTGAGAGAGATGCCTCCAGCTCTCACTCTGCCCTGTGCTTTTACTGCACAGCATGCTGTCACCTTTGGGCTGAGTGAGCAGTAGCAGGAGAACCATGTGCCCCTCAGACAGCATACTGAAAAGTGTTCTTAGGAATAGGAAGGCTTTCTCAGCTCTCAGGAAAGCCCTAATCTGCCCTCTGGAAACTATTATCTGAGAATGTTTACCAAGTGCTTTATGAAGGCCAAGAAGGTCAATTAGCTAAAACAAATGTATTTTTAGCTCATTGGGATTTGTTTAATGCCCAAGTGACATATGGTCACATCACTCCACTGCCTTCAGCCAATGGGAATCCGACTGATTTATTATCATAATAAGGCAGAAGGTGGGATTCAGCAGAAGCCTCTTTAATGAAAGCATTCATTATTTTTCTTGAGTCCCTGCTGGGATGACCGAACCCTATACTCTGCTTCCACTTGGGAATCACAACAGAACAAAAGGAATCCCATTGTCTTCTGAGTGTCATTTTCTACCTTGCTTGCTTTGGGACCAAAGAGGTCTGGGGAATAGAAAGGGGTGGGGGTGAAAATGATCAAGAATAAGTCTCTCGTTGGGGAAAGTGGTTAGGCAAGGAAGGTATCCTCCTCCAATTTTAACTATAGCCCTGGGTCCTTATTAAAATGCAGTCTCAGATATCTGAAAAGTTTAGTTTATAAAAAGAATATATAAAGAACTCCTACAATTGAACTGCAACAAGAAAACAACTCAAAACATAGGCAAAATGCTCGAATAGACATTTATCTAAAGAAGATATACCAATGACTAATAAGTACATGAAAAGAGATTCGACATCATTCGTCAGTAAAACCTGTTGCCACCGAGTCAATTCCAACTCACAGCCACTCTATAGAGCAGAGTAGATTTATCCCACAGGGTTTCCAAGGCTGTAATCTTGACTGAAGCAGATTGAATCATCTTTCTTCAGCAGAGCAGTAGGTAGGTTGCAGCTGCTCACTGGATAACCCAAAATGTTAGCAGCTGAGTGCTTAATCTTCAGGGTTTCTTTTCGTTAGTCACTAGAGAAATGTAAATCAAAACCAAAACAAGCTACGATTTCATACCATTAAACAAAAAAAAAAAAAAAAAAAAAAAAAAACAACCCCACTGCCATTGAATCGATTCTGACTCATAGAGACCCTATAGGACAGAGTAGAATTGCCCCATATGCTTTCTATAAAGTACACCTTTATGGAAGCAGACTGCTATATCATTCTCCCATGGAGTGGCCGGTGGATTGGAACCACTGACCTTTTGGTTGGCACTTGAATGGTTTAATCACTGCTCCATTGGAGCTGGTTGTTTTTCACATCATTAGGATGGCTATAATAAAAAGGGAAAATTACAAGTGCTGTCAAGTACTCCAATGTTAATTACAGCGTTATTCACAATAGCCAGAAGGTAGAAACAATCCAAGTACCATTAAGATATGAATTGAGAAAGAAAATATGTCATATA